TCAAAAATTTGCCCAATATGGTGTTGTTCGACAATTTATGATCATGAGTTGTCAATTTTCATAAATTTAAAAAAAAAGGACAAGACTCATGTACTTTGTGCTTCCTACTATACCCTCACAATAAAATTGCTAATATCTCAAAAGTTGACTAGGTAACCCTGTCGTGTAATCTAAGCAAAAATGTTTTATAGGTTCAAGAAGTATAATTGTATAAAAAAAAGATAGTATATAAATATATTATATATATTGTTTGTTTTCCAATGTTATGCATCAAACCTACATAAGCATATACATATTTGGTCTGAACAAATAAAATCTTATCAGACTATAATAGTCCAAAAGCAACCTGCCTAAGTACCTCTTTGCCTCAATCCGGACTTCTACCTTACTGGAAATTGATCCCTTCAATCACTTGCAGGCAGTACTGGTCTTTGATAGATTAAGGTTAACACATTCCTTTCATTAGTTACTCTGTATAGTTAAGGACTTTTTCCCGGATAATAATGAAATTATGCACGAGCAAGTGATATAATTAATTAGAATGATTAATATAATAATTTTGAAGAGAAATTTGGTAAAATGATTATCGTGTAACTGAAATTTACTTTCAAGAATTCACAGTTTATCATTATCGTTATACATTGTCAGGTTGACACTTCTTTAATTGGTAATAGTTATCCTTTTTTAGAATTATTAATAACTTCAGTATTGTAAAAAGGAGAACGGATTACCATTAGAATATTCAATTCTAAGACATTTCATTATATAAAATGAGATACTTCTAAATTAAAAACATTAATTATACAAAAGTTACAATTTTTTTTACCAAAAATTAGGCAATATAAGAAATATCTTACTGGTATATACGCTAATCATTTACTTTCTATCATATAATGAATTAAATAAAATCTTTAAAAGTACCTAATGTACAAATATTCGTAGCAAATATTAGCATCATACTTCTCATTTATTTTATGCTTACATGTTTTTAAATATTTTAAATATGCTGACCTTTCAAATTCTTGATTGATTATACAACGCTGCAATAATAATAATCAGTGAAATAAAATCATGGATGAGAAAAGTGAAGGGTAACTATTCACAAAAATACTTCATGATATATAGTATTAATGGATCTAGATTTTTGCTTTTTTCGCTCTAAATATGAAGATTATTAATCTTATATCTGATGTGAAAAAATTATAATCTTCATTATAAATAGATTGATGGATTGGGTAAAAAAACATATGGAAATCCTTCATTCCGATGAAAAAGTGATAAATGCTTTTAAGCATTTAGAAAAAAATATTAGGTCTAAATCAAAAGATCCTCATTTGTATCCAGAACTTAATTGGGATGCGACTGTTAGGTAATCCTAAAAATAACGTTTTTTTTTATGATAATCTTTTTTTTTTTTTAACTTGCTTTCATGTAACCGTTTATAGGAAATCTAACGACCTTTGCGAAGATGAAAAGAAATTTGTCCATGATAGAAAACTTTACATATGTGAAGCTTTCGCAAGATATGTTGGTGTTGAAGTCGATGAGATCCATCCTGATGACATTCCTATAATTGCATTGACAGGTAGCGGTGGTGGAATTAGATCTATGATTTGTGCTACCTGTATGTCTCAAAAATTACCTCCAATTAATTTATATAATAGATTATTCATTTTTACTTAATTTTTAAATTTTTAATTAAATCAAAGCATATTTTTATGCTGCCCAAGAAAGTGGACTTTATGATTGTGGCATATATGTTTCAGGTAAATATTATAACAAATCAATAAGTTCATATAAGATATTCGATATGATAATTGATTGATTAACATAGGTGTTAGTGGAAGTGGATGGGGTGTCGCTCAACTATATACTTCAATGAGTAATGCAAATAAAAATCCAATTCAAGCACAAATTGAATCTTATCGAACAAAACTTGACCATAACATTATTGATGCTGTGAAAATTTTTAAGGCACTTGCTGATAATTCTTCTCCACAAGAAGCTGTTGAATTGGCTTTTGGAGGTTTGGTTCAGAAAAAAGACTCTGGAATTCATTTATCACTTGTAGATATCTATGGAGCATTATTAGGCGCAATGTTGTTAATAGGTCCTGATTCCACTATTCAGTCCTTAGACTTTAAATTGAGTTCACAAAAGAAATACGTTGAAGGTGGAAAAAAACCCTTACCAGTATATGCAGCGTGAGTTTTTTTTCAAATATAGGGGCCCGAAAAATAAAATAATCACAAATAAGGGCTCATAATGAAAATAATTACATACCGGGTATTTCAAAGTTCCCTTTTTTTTTAAGTGACTTATACATACCCGGGTGTTTCAAAAGTTACACTGTTGGTCCCTTTTTTTTTAAATGACCTTACATATAGAGTCACGATGATTATTTATCATGACTCTATATACAGGGTGTTCCAAAGGTTCCCTTTTTTTAAAGTAAACTTATATACAGAGATCACTGATTATCATCAATAGGAACTTTTGGAACACCCTGTATAAGCTCACTTAAAAAAAGGCGAACTTTTGAAACATCCGGTAGAATCATGATTATTTCTGCAAATATATGAGTAATTATTTTCGAATCCAGACCAAAATGTTATTACGTAATGTATAAAATTGAACCGGATTCAAAAATAATTATTCATAAATAATCATCGTGATTCTATATATAAGGTCACTTAAAAAAGGGATCTGTAGTGGAACTTTTGAAATACCCAGTATAGAGGTCCAAATTAACTGTGTTATGACGATAGTGGTTCTTTGAACGTTGTCACCGTATATATTTACTACTTTACAGTTAAACGTGATAGTTATTAATATTGTAATGTTTATTCAGTTCTAAGCAATAAGTCTATCTTGTAACAAGACTAGCTCATTTGTATTTGGCAAAAGTAGTTATGATTCTTACGTGACTGATTAAAAAAAGTGGTGTACAGCATGGTCTAAAAGATCCCCTTTTATAATACCCTCACAACTTTTAGAGCTAGTTATAATTAGAAGTCCAATGACAGGTTTTCTCTTGGAGACAATTATATAGAGCAACCTATATCTCCTACGCTAACCTATTTATGTAAATAGCTTGTAAAGTACCCCGGGTATTTTAGACCACTCTGTACGGTAATACGTTTAACAGTCAAAAAAAAAAAAACATATATATAATCTTTTTATACTGGGTGTTTAAAAATCCTTATATACGGACTTTTATTTTAAGTGACCTTATATATAGAGATTATTATAATTATTTACATATTTTCATAAATTGGCGTGATTTGATATATAATAAATAAGAACAGTATATAGTGATAGGGACTTTTGAAACACCCAATAATTATTTCAATTTTCCGGGCTTTATATGTAAATTCTCCTTAGTTTAATCATATTTTCCCATCACCAAAAATTTAAAAATCCAGTATTTACGATAATCGTCCATGGAAAGATTACCTTGAGCCAGAATATGCAGCTTTAATCCCAGACTATGACCAAGTCTTAGAAAGACACAAAATGAAAAAAGGATATTTTCAGTGGTACGAATTCACACCTTTTGAATTTGGCTGTGAGGAATTTCCTTGTGAGTACTATAAATCATTATTTAAAAAATAAAATCAATTGAGTTAGAAATTTATATGTATCGACAAAATTTTTTGGGTGTATTTTTTTATAAGAATTGAGTTAGAATCTAGAGTTAGGATTATTACTAAAAAGGATATGTAGAATTTAGAGGTTTAAAAAAAAGCCTCGGATTTCATTTTAATATACAATATTTAATGCATTAAAACTTATTAACTTGAACTCGTAAAATGTAGCCTATATCCCCACATGGGCATTTGGACGAAAATTTGAATCCGGAAAAAATGTTTCAAGAATACCTGAACAAAACTTTGGACTTATACTTGGGTAAGTATAAACTATTCAATAAATATTATTGTATTAAGTTTAGATAACTATTCCTATCATAAAATTATAGTTTACTAGGATCATCACCAGCTGGGACACTTAAGTTTGATCTCCAAGAGTTTGAATCGACTCTCCCTGACGAAATAAAATCTGAAATTAATATATCTAAAAAAGTTAATATTTTTCATTACTACTTGTTTATAAGTTTATTACTATGTTTACTATTAAGTTTATTAAATTTGATTTATTTATTATAAGGTACAAGACAAACTCGGTGAACATGAAAAGGATGTTCTTGAAAGAATTCATCCAATCCCACAAACAAATAATCATAATTATAACTATCATCTTTATCCACCACCATATGAACTTGGTATTACCAGTTTACGAAATCTTCCAATCTTAGATCCAGCACCTAGTAACGAACTTCCAATGTATCCATTAACTAATCCAAGTCGAAAAATTGATATAATTATTGGTTTTAATTCTGCACGTCAAGTAATTGAACATGAATTATTTGATGAACAACAAAATGAATTTTGTAAAAGACGAGGATATGATAGAATTGTTCGAGATATTTCTAATAAGCATTGTGAGATTTATGATTATATTCCTAACGGTAAAGCAACTGCTCATAATCTACAAGCCACAAATCCAACAGTATTCTGTCATATGCCATATTTGAAAAACGATAAGGTGGATCCTACATTTGAGCCACTTAAAGCAAGTTTTACAAATACTATAAATTTTATTTATACAGCTGAACAAGTTGATTTAATGTTTAACGTAGCAAAACAAAATTGGCTTGATAATGAACATAAAATTAAAGAAGTGATCATTAAAGAATGGAAAAAGAAAAGAATTGCTAGACAATTAAATCAAAATTCTCAAAATTAGGGTATAGATTTAGGAAGCTTTTCATATGTTGTAAAATTAACTGATGTTGTCATTATTTAACTTTTTTTTCTATTTATTTTATCTATTGATTTATTTATTCATTTATTTATTATAATTATTATATTATATTTTTTATAATTATTATAAGCAAATACTGTATTATTATCATAAATAAAGTATTATTATATCATAAAAAGAGCACATACTTTTCTCAAATGTTTATGAATTTTTTTTAAATGGTTATTACTACGATTCCTTTTATTTAACCATGACCGATAAAACAAAAAATCCAAATCTGTCACCACTTGCAACCATGCAATAGTGCCAAAATTGAATTATAGACAACAAAATATTGATTCTTAGTCAAAAAAATGCGATGATATTTTGGTGTCGCACTTATCTATCGAAAATGCTTGTAATAAGTGACTACTTTATACATTAAGTTATTAATTCAAGCGATAACTTAATTTAAAGCCTTTTATCTCGTATTAATTTCATACAGCGTCTTACAATTCAATTGGATTAGGATATGCCATTTCAAAAAGATATAAGCAGATAGAATTTTTAAAACTGGCTCTAATAGGATTTTAATTTTTTACCGATTTTAAATTTCTATTTCTCATATATATTCATGAATCTAGCGTTCCACTTTAAAAAAGCAGCGTAAATGGACTAAAATTTGAGATGCAGACAATTTCATATCTACAACTACCGTTAAAACAGTGCAGAAAATAATTATTCGATTCCCGCCATGCAGCCCATTGTTTTAAGTGTCTTTTTTGACTCATGATGTAAATAATTTGAATCAAGAACGATGTTTTTGAATTTCCGGGAAATTAATAGGTATTTTCTGCCCTGCTTTAAAACCAAAAAGATACTTATGGTTAAAAAAAAAAAAAGTCACGAAATTTTTAAATTACTATAAAGAATGAATAATCATAAGATTTTGACAACAATACGATGATGTACTGACGTCTTAATTTCGCTGATAAACATTTAAGGAATATACATTCTCTTACAATATTCAAAAAAATTTAGTCCGTCTTTGTGGCGGGTAATAAGTATATACACTAATAGAACTTGTAGATTAGATTGGGTAATGTAATTTTTAAAAATTTGCTTGTTGTTCTTTTTTTTAAACCATACAACCTTGAAATAAGGCACAGGGGTGTTATTTTGAATAATGGTCTGAATTAAGATTAATTTAGGCTGAGGTTCGGAATTACCCTGCGCGTTATTTCGCAGTTATACTGTAATTGAATAAAAAGAATTTTTATATGATGTGTTTATATGACTATAGGGAGGTTCGACTGTATATGATATATTCATTAACCAGGCAACATAGATAAATTAATGTTTTTTGATATCCATTTTCATCGATTTTAGATAGGTAGTTGTCGAGATATTTTCGCTTAAATTTTAGAAAATTTTATCAATTTTAGATAGTTGATTGGTGAGATATCTTCGTTAAAAAAAAGTTTCTAATCAGAATGCGACTGTTCAAGGGATGGGTAAGGTAATTAAAACTTTAAATCACACTACAGCACTATGCGACAATTCATCATGTTATTAGTTGATTACCTTGCCCATCTCTAGTAGAATCTCATAGGCGGAAGTTTGTCAGATTGGCTAATAAATTCAATTTAATTTTACATTATTTATACAGTTTAGAGTACTTTTTAAAAAAACGAAAACTAATTATAGTGAAATAAAAAAAGTTGTATAGAAGGTTTCATTAGAGCTATAGGACTCTATAGCCAAAATAAGATCTAATTCTCGTCCGTTTAAAACAATAGCTTAGTAATGAGTTGATTTTATCGGGTTTTGAGAAGTTATTACTAAACTAACTTTTTTAAACGGACGAGAATTAAATCTTATTTTTGGCTATGGAGTCCTACAACTCTATGAAACCTTCTATACAGCTTTTTTTATTTCACTATAATTAGTTTATAAATAATGTAAAATTAAATTGAATTTATTAGCCAATCTGACAAACTTCTGCCTATGAAGTAGAATTGACAAAATTATCGGCATGACGCAGTCATTACGTAATTACGTAATAAAAAATATTATGAAGTAGTAATAAAATTTATTACAAAAAAACGAATTCAGAGTCTTTATAATATGATTGGTGGCATAGTAATCATGGGCAATCACGGGTAGATCAACAAAGTTCAACCAATCAAACAGCCTTCTCATATGAGATATCAATTGCTTCAAAGGCAAATGTTTATTTGTTGAACCAACAAAGAAAATAAATATTAAGCCCTTTACATTTGCTGAAGAATTTAACGTGGTCTTGAATTAAATTCTAGTGTTTCTATCAAAAGAATTCTTTGTAAATCAGAGTTCATAACATGGCAAAAGGAAAGAGGAAACCTCGTTGGCTATATTTGTTAATTGTACCAAATTTTATTTTAATGATTATATGTCCCATAATTGGTATGTTGGATGAGTTTACGTATTCTCCTAGTGAATTTGTCCTTAATTTTTTTACTATTTCTTGGTTTGTTATAACAATTGCAGAAATAGTAAAAATCAAAATATTCGATGAGACTCATGGTGAACTTCGGTACAATAAAGGTGCAGAATATACGTAAGTATTTGCATTTCAATTTTTATTTAAGATATAAAGTGGTTTTTTTTTTTAATCTTTACAATTTTTGGAAATCGTTTAGTTATTTAACATTCACATTGGCGGTACTTGGTAATGATACTTTCTTACTATTTGCAACAAAAAATTACATGCCTCACTTTTACTTCTATTTAAATGCTATTGTGTAGTATTAAATTCATTGGCATTTTGTGGATGTTATATGTTTAAGATACGGAATTACGACTTTGAATTTAGGTAAATTATTTAAATTACTAAGATTTATGTTTATATGCATTTGCACTTACATCCATTCTATTTGTGTACAGGATAACATCATGTATTTGGGTACTATTTCCGAGTACGTATAGTGTTTATATAGCTATGTTCTGGTTTTTTTTTTTTTTATAAAACTCTTCATTTACTCATTTAATAATAATTTATTCTCTTTCTTTGTATTCTAAAAATAGTTATCTATACATACTTTACGTTCAGTGAAATGGGTGAGATCCCATTCACATGTCCAGTGGCTTATCATTACACCTCACATATAATCCGCTTGGCTTGTCAAATTCGTGTAATAAATTTTACTTTGATGTGGTTATATTTTAGTAGTTTCGTACTTTTTATTATTGTTAAATGGTATTTACGAGGTTATGAGAAAATTGAAGATGACGACAAAGAAAGCAAAGGTAGGGAAACTGTAGAAGTTGAAAAGCAACCAGAGATTCTGAAACCAGTTGCTGTTAAGTCATCTAATGTCATAGTATAATATTTGTAATAAGAATTTCTACTTGAAATGCTTTTATTGTTAGATAAAGTACACGAATTTCTTTGTAAAATAGGGAAATTTACATGCATATTGATTAGTCTAATTGAAAAACGTTTATTATAAAACGCGCTTATGGTGATTTAGCAACTATCATGTTTTTGTTATTATATTTTTTAGATTATTATGTTTTTTAGATTATTATGTTTTTTAATTTTTTCACATTAAGGTGGATTAGTATTTAGAACTATAATTAGGTTTGAGAAGGGTTGTTGCATCAACTAATTAACTATATAGTTTTTAAAAGCACCATAAGTGTGTTTTAGTAAAGAAATAGACGCAATTATATATAAATTTTTACATTAAACAAGTTTAGTTAGGTTAAAAAGTTAAACAAATTGCTAGTCAAATCTTGGTATATTCCTCCCGTTTGTCCAAAGCTTTCAGTTATATAACTTAGGTCAGGATATAATATAAGTAAAATTTAGTAAGTATAGGAAATTTATTCTGCTAATAGTGAAGGTATAATCTAGGCTGGGGGCAACCAAATGGAGATATAACTGAGGTTCGATTGTATATAAAGTTTATATAAAGGTTATATAAAACTGTTTATTAAACCCAAAATTGGTCGGCATAAAATTTTGTATAAAACTATACAAAAATAATTTATATTAAAAAAAAAGACCTTTCTAGAGATATATAGACCACTGTTAGTATTTAGATTAATTTAAATCGAAAAAAATTATTCTGATTTTAATTTTAAAACAATCCAAAATAAGCAGATTAAACAAGACCAGAACAATTTAAATATAGATCAAATATCCAAATATTCAAAAAATCTCAAATTTTTCGAACATTTGTCTAAGGCATACTGGTTTATTTAATTTATTTTTTTTTTTGGTATATCAATATACCTTTAATCTATTATTAGCATTATTTATTATCATCATTAAGCTACGATAACATTTTAACCATTTTATTAATAACCTTTATTTAAACAAATAGTAGGTATTTTTATAATTGAATTTTTTTTTTGAATTGACGAAAGAGGTTTGGATTTTTTACACGTTGATCATTATATTTGTATTTAACTATTCAAGTTCATATATTTGCCATATACAACTTCGATGTCTTAAATTTTGACAATATAATTCTTTGGTTTTTTATAACTGTATAAATTAATCAAGACATTGATAACTGATTTTACAATTCCTATTGTAATGGAAATAAAATAATTACCTTTCAGTTAAAAATTTAAAAATAGCCAAATCAATAGATATTTTTAATACAAAGTTGTTAATTGATATTTACTATTATACAAATAAAAATTAAGTTACAACAATGATTTGATAAATATTATTGAAATCTAGTGTTAAATGTATGCATTAAAATATATCTATATCTATTACCAATACCCTTTTATCACATTATATCTATACAATAATTATATTATAGTTACTAAAAAATATATAAAATTTTACACAGGAGGATAAACAGCTCGCAAAACATCTGCAATAACATCACTCGATGTTGTAGGGCCTCTCACTTTTTTTAATAAAGTTTTCAAATTTGTTCCATACATTGTACTTCTATCATCTCCTACTTCTCGTAATATTATTCTATGCGAAAATATTTTTTCGCTTGCAAATAATACTAGTTCTGGTGTTACATAATTACGCTGAAATACAGCAGCCAACGCTCTAAAAAATTATAGTAACTTTATTAACGTATTTATTCTATTTCATTAATCAACCAATAATAAATAAATAATTTAAAAACTTACTTTACAAATGTTACCAAATCAGTTGAAGCTCGAGCCGTTATTCCTCTTTTGACAATTCTATGCGTTCGTAATCCAACGACAATATCTCGCATATATCTTTGCATGTCATTCTGAACCGAAACGTTATCCATATCTTTTGATAATTTTTCAATTTCCTAGATAATCAATATGTGATAACTTCAATCAATAAATAATATAAACGAATCAAAGATTAATCCTTAAAAGACAAATACCGATTCTTTAATCATTGGATTTCGTCGATTAATAATTTGAGATTTTCCAAAACCTATTATTCCTTCGTACAAATAACTTATAAAAAATCTGTCCATCTTTTCAATATAATAAAAGGAATGATTTAGTGATGTAAAAAATTAATTGAAAAGTAATGAAATTAAAAAGTAATATTTGAACAATATATTACTAATTGGTTAGGTAAACTATGTCTTGGATATGTTTCTGGTAATAAAGCTACAATAAGAAATGGTTTTGGCAAATAGAAAGTGGTTGATTTATCGATTACTTCTTTATGCGCCAGAATCTACAAGTTAAAAATGATCAATAATCAATCAGAAATTGACGATAAATTTAGAATAATAATATAATTTTACCTCCAACAAAAAAGCAAATATTATTTCATTAGCATTAGATAAACTTTCAATGATCACAGCTTGAGCCAATTTTCGGGACGCAGAGTTATGAGGAGGATATGAATCAAAACCTCCAGTACCTATACTCCCATGCGTTCTCTTAGAAATTGAAAAATCAATAGGAGTATTTGGAGATTGAGAATAAGAGTTTAAGTGTGAATAATTTGAAGAATGAGTATTTTTTCGTGGAGAACCGGTATATATACTAAGATTTGGACGCGATGGTGTAGAAGATCTTTCTGGAATGTCAATAGGTTGAGTTGACGTTGAAGATGCGAGGAAAGTATTTCTCCTACGTGGATGGGCATTTGATGAAACGAAATTTGATTCCTTAGGATTATCAAGAGTTCGAGAACGTTCTGTAAACTATTCCAAATAAATAAGTGTAAGTGTATTTCATGATGACATTGTAAAGAAATATATATATATATTTAATTATCTATTTATTTATCAAATTAAACACATTACCCCATACCTTTCGTGAACTATATTCATCAATATCATTAATTGCATTAATTGATAATTCTTCATCACTAAAACTAGTGTCTATAGGTGAATCTCTATTATGGTTTAGACGACTAGGGCTATGAGATAAATTGGATTGTCGTTTTATTCCTTTAAATTCCGGAGATGGTTTTTTCTCATTTGAATTTGTTGAACTTGTTGTTATTAATGATCTGTAAGACTTTTGTGGTTGTAATCGATTAAATGAATCGTCAGCACTATTTTGAATTGAATTACCAATATGAGTACTATTTGAATAAGAATCGTCTTTTGGTCGACTAAAAAGATTGGCAATAAAGTCAGCAGGAGTTTGCGAAGCATCGCAAGTGACAGTTGCACAACTCAAGCCAAAAACATTATGAAAGATCTGTTCAACCATAGTTTTTAACTCTTCAGCGTGTTCTTGTTTGCAAGTCAACATTAAATGTTTGTCTCTTGACATGAGACAAACAAGTATGGATATTAAAATGTCATCAGAAAACTGTAAGCCAGTTCTCTTAATAGTTTGAAGCTTCGTTTTGAGCCAGCTTCTTGTTTGTGACGTCTCTGAAAGCATCGTTATGAATGTTTCAACATCGAAAAATTTTCGAATGTTTTCGAATTTGACAATGATTGGTACTAGGGATTGGAACCGCCTAAAATTTTTCTTGATCGTTTAATTTGGCTGGCATTAAAATAATTCCGGCCGCAACCAACATAATTCTGCCCGGAACTATGGTGCAATTTTTTAAACGGTCAAACGGTTCCAATCCCTAATTGGTACACACGTGCGTGCGTGCGTACGTAATACTGATTCTGATTGGTTGATCACACGAAATTGAATACCAGTCAGGAAAGATATCGCTAAATTAATTCATGATTATTGTTACGTCGATCGTCTTTATAATGACTAACCTAAACTCTGTGCCAACATTGAATGTTACACTATAAAAACATGAAATTACTATGAAACTTTAGGGCCAAGATCTTTTTACACCTACAAATCAAATTTTGCAATTAATAGATCAATAAATTCCTTGGAATGATGTTAAACTTTGTAAAAGTTACATAGTTCGCACACGGAACTCCATGAAAAGGGAATAGTAATCAGTTTTAAACCCGTAAAATTTATTTATAATGATCAAGTTTACTTATCGTTATAAGATGAAGACGGCCTTAGCTTATGTTAACCGTTTTATTTAATATCACATTTTATGTAAACTTGTTCAAATTTTTACGCTATACAGTCTCCAACGCCCTTCCTCGAATCTTTTGTCAAGTAAAAATTCGACTGAATAAATTTGATTTTAAAAAAAATTTTTTTAAACAAAGGAAGGTTTTTTTACGCTCAAAACGACTTTAGTAATTGGTATTTGAAGTACTAAGTAAAAATATTCTGCATACTAATCACCCTTAATCTCCAACTCCAAGTTTACATATCTTTTACAATGATAATAAAAAGCATATATGGTTATTTTTGTGTATCCTTTTTAAAGTTTCTTTTTTTTTAATTGGAATTTTTTGTTATGTTAATATTTAAGATTAAATTTAAGATTTAAAGTTTTTGAGTTATAGAATATATAAATGCATTTTAGTAAAATTATTTGACTATTATACTGTATAAAAATATGAGTACAACGATAATTATCTTAGTACGTATAATAATTAATACCGTACCGCACTGCCTTTAGTACCCATTATTTAATACCCCTTAAATAACACCCAAATACATTACAAAAAAAACTCTCGAAAATATTTAATAAAATTATTTCAATTGCAAATTGTAATTGAAATATTTCTGGATTATAATATTAGGCAGTGCGGCAGGGACACATAAATTGATTCAGTGATTAAATCAAATCACACTAAATCACAATTTTATCTCACTTATATTACGTATGTACTACCCAGGATGTGGTTTAAAGTTTTGGTCAAATTAGGCTTAGTATAGGCCGCATTGGGCTTAATTTAGGCCAAAATTCTAAACTAGTATGCGTTTAGTCAAACATGTTTTTTAAAAAAATTACGTGTATGACTTTTTTACGAGATCATATTTTATTTGGCTAAATAAAAGGCATTAAATTCGTACT